CGAAACACTGTGTATTGAGCAGGGAGTGGTGCTTTCTTGCAGGTTTGCCGAGTCGAAGGTTCGATGGACTTCTCGTGTGCTCTGGATGGCAGTCGTGAGTCAGTCAAGTGTCAAGTAAAGTCGGCGGAATAGCGCGAGCTCCGGTGTGGGGAGCAAACCCTTTCTTACAAATTATCGCCGAAGTCGCAACCACTACTTCGTAATGCTTCTACATAGATGGGTTTTTCGTTATTTGAGCGACACAAGGTGATGATTATTGTAGGTCTTGTTACAAATATGAGAAGGTGCTTGGGACATAAATACAGATGCATGCATGGGTGTCTGCGAAAGAGAGAGAGAGAGAGAGAGAGAGAGAGAGAGAGAGAGAGAGAGAGAGAGAGAGAGAGAGAGAGAGAGAGAGAGAGAGAGAGAGAGAGAGAGAGAGAGAGAGAGAGAGAGAGAGAGAGAGAGAGAGGGGGGGGGGGAGGGAGCGAGAGAGACACACACACGCACACACACACACATACACACACACACACGCGCGCACACACACACACACGAGTGAGACAAAAGACATGAAAAGAGACCGCGAGAAGCTGAGTGTTCCATAGTGGTACATGTACATACATTTGCTGGACGTCTTCGGTGGAGCTAATCCATCAGCTACCACCACGGTGAGAAACGAGAGCAACTCCATCAGACTGTCACTAAATACACCTGTAAACACGAACATACACACACACACACACACACACGCACGCACGCGCGCGCACGCACGCACACACACACACACACACACACTAGTGAGTAAAACGTAGACGCAGTGAAAACAGATTTAAAAAGTTACAAGTCTTCCTACTTGTCCACTTGCTGCATGGTAAACCATACAAGATACTGCGCCATGATGCCATTCAAAAGGTTCATGTACGAGTACCTTTAAATACAAGGCACCATCATGATATCAATCATTTACATCATACCTGTACCTTACAAGACACCATGATGATGTCATTCAAAAGTCCCAGTAGCTGTACCTTACAAGACACCATAATGATGACATTCACATCACCTCTGTTACCCTGTACCTTACAAGACGTTACACCATGATGTCATCCACATAGTCTATGTAGTCTGTACCTGTCCTTACAAGTAGGGATGTCCACAAAATGTTTTCGAATTTTTTGCATTTTGGGTAATTTTTACACTTTTTTTGCAATTTGGGCAATTTTCACACTTTTTTCCATTTTGGGCCAATTTATCCAGCAAACTTGCCGCAGGAGTCTCACTCGCGGCTTGCCCGGAAGACTCTACGATGGAGATGGTGTCGGATTCTTCCTCGCTCTTCTCATTGGAGTCGGAGTGGACCTCCGTCAACACACTTGGCTCGCTGCGCGCCATTTCCACCGATGTTTCTGTAACAGCTGTAGCTATTCTGGCAATACGGCTCGACGACTCGTAGATCTGGTACGTGAAGTGCCATTTTGGCTGCCATGGCAACAGTCACATTTTTCACGCAATTTGGGTGATTTTTACAATTTTTTAATTTTTTTACAGAACAAATATCCCGAAAACATTTTGGGTTTTTCTGCACATTTTACATTTCCATTTTAGGTGAAAAAAATAAAATTTTGTGGACAGCCCTACTTACAAGATACCATATGCACCATGACGTCATTCACATCATCCCTGTTACACTGTATAAGCCTATTGCGCAATGACGTAATTCGTACCATAGACACCCCAGACAGCCACCTGGGCATGGTCGTCTGGCGTGTTGAACAGTGCATTGCTGATCCCAGCATACTCACATGCATTACTCATACCTTCCATTTTGGCAATGCACAATGGGCTTATTGTGACAGCTAACTGTGCCTTACAATACACTACACAATGAGGTCAATGACCCTGGACACCTTACAAGACATTACGTCATCACGATGTCATCAACATAGTCCCCGTACCTTGCCAAGCCTTATCTGCCAGGCGTGCACAGAAAGCAATGAATTTAGCCAGCGGGCGATGTCCATTGTGTGTGATAGGGGATGTCTGGTTCTCCGCAACACGATACGCCGAGAACAGCGAGGCAGCTACCAGTGGCCGCAGAGCAGCCAGTTTCTTTGAGACATTAGTCAGGAACAGCGCTTGCACATTGGAGCTGACCGTCGCGTTCAGCGAAGTGTTGTTGATCAACTGTGTATGGCGTACACACACGCACGCACGCACGCGCGCGCGCGCACACACACACACACATCACATATGCGTACATGCATACACCACATACACCACATATGCGTACACACACACACACACACACACATACACACCCATACACCACATCACATATGAGCCTCAGGCTGAGAAAAGGGTGATATTGGCATTTTTTGGTCAAATTGAGGTAGATAGCGTACCTAGAAAACTGCTAGCTACATAGACCACGGATGACCGGAGGATGTACCCAGTGTGCTGACAGTGCTCAGCACCGTGGAGGCAGACCGTAATAGACCACAGATCACGAAGAACTTCCAAAAGCGGGGTTGAAGCGCACATCGTTTCGGGTACATGTGCTATGGTGTCAATCCCTGCTAGTCATTAGAATTATTGTACAGAACTTTCACTGCACATACTTCCAAGTAGAAGAGATTTCAACTTCAAGAAAGGCATTCGAGCTCACAAGCTCGTTCCCATAACTCTGCAAAACACAGAACATCGTTTTCGCATCATCTTTTTTAGCAACGTTTCGGCATTTCGCAATCATCACTGACATCAGATCAGCTCGAATGCCTTTCTTCTGAATGATACTGCAAGAAACCTCACACCCACCCCACTACTTCAGAGTTTACAGTACAGTAAGACCTGTCAAGGCGACCACCTGTCCCAGAAGACCACTGTAACCAGGACCAAGGGGCGCTATTTCCAGTCAAACGACCCTGGATAAGGAGACCGCCTGGCGACAGAGACCACATTTTGAAGGTCCCTTGAGCGGTGGCCTTAGACAGGTCTCACTGTACATGATTGTTGTGAGAAGTCACCGAGAACACATTACCTCCAGAATCGTGTCGATCACGTCGATGCTCGGTTTACCGGACAACGACGATGCTGAAGACGAGAGCGTGCTGGATTGCGACGCAGCCGACATGGCGGACTGCGCAGACTTGTCGGCAGCGCCACCACTGCCAGCACCACCAGTACCAGCAGCACCACTAGCACCGGCTGCACCACACACGAGCAGGCTGTCCAGCGCTACGGCTGTCAGCAGCTTCATGACCTGGTCACGTGCCGGGTGAGAGTTGAGGGTGTTGCTGGCCAGTGTGCCACTGGCTGTGTCCGGTACTGTCGGTGGATACGATTTACCATCACCAGCACCACCACCGGTGATTGGACTGTACGATCTGTCACCAGTACTGACTGTCGGTGGCTGTGCAGAGAGACAGAGAACAGCAGGTAAGCAAACAAACAAACAAAACATACATACAAACAAACGTCTGATGAGTGTTTTTTGAAACACGAAACTCGGAGTTACGAGAAAGATTTTTTGGTCTCTGTTGTTCTGCCCTGTGTGGTAAGCTCTGCCCCTTTTGAGGTATTGAGCACTGTTTGCAGCGAAGACTACAGACACTTTGTGTACAAACAAACAAATACGAGTAAGCTAAGCAGCATAGAGCATGCGCGCACAATTCCAACGTAACGCCGCACCTTTAAACAAGCAGACACACACGGATAATATGCAGACACGCACACACGTGAGTTCATATGCACATGGACACACACACACACACACGCGCGAGCGCGTGTGCATGAGTTTGTATGCAAACACGCTCACACGTGAGTTTTGCATGCACACACGCCCATGCGTGAGTTTGTATGCATACGCACACACATGTTAGTGCGTGCACAGCCATGCACATTACAACATGCAGCACGCTCAGCAGCAACACACCAGTCCTGCTTTGGGAGCAGTCTCTGCAGACGCTAGCGTCGCCATTGCTGTCGTGTCAATGACCACAAACTGGGTGAGAGAGAGAGAGAGTGAGAGACACACACAAACTGGGTGTGAGAGAGAGAGAGAGAGTGAGAAAGACAGACACACACAAACACACTGTATTTGTACATGTACTTGCTCAGTGCCATCACTGGTCACGCGAGTCTCCCCCCTCCCCTCCCGAAGAGGGAGAAAGATTCAAAAGGAATCTTGGAAAGATGATTCAACTCGCCTCGATGATTCAACAAATATTCGACGCATATAATATTTTTTCGGCTATCTTCAGCCTGGTCATATTTGGCCGAAAAGTTGGTGCAGCCGAAATTTTGTTTTGCGAGTTTCAGCGTGACAGTGTACAGGCTGTACAGGCGGAAGCAGTTCAGGCCAAAAATTTGACGCGGCCGAATGGGCTTTAGCCCTGGGAGGCCGAAAGTTGAATGGGCTGAACATTTGTAGACTTACGGTACTGAACCGCCCAACGGCCGACACCCCCTGACATTACCAAACTCTGGGTGGACTTGGAAAATGATCCCACGTATGGGCTCACCACACCTCAGTAAGTGGGCGAGGACAAGGCACAGAAAAGGGACAAACGCGCATGCACACACATAAATGTGCACGCACGCACGCACACGCACACACACACACACACCACGCACACACACACACACGCACACGCACACACACGCACAGAGTAATTCAGAGCGGAGAGCGGGGTGGCTCACATGAACATCAAATCTTACCTCTTCATCATCCTCGTCCTCGTCTATCGGAGTCTCTAGACTTAGACCAGCAGCAGCAGTAGCAGCAGAACTACCACTACCCTTGGGTACGGACGACGTACTCATCTCACGCTCTGCTTCCGGCTTGCTCACAAACAGACAGGAGACGAGCGCGGACAGGAACGGCCGCGAGGTTGCAAACAGGCTGAAGTCCAGCGAGTGCATGTACACGGATAGCATCATACTCAGCAGCAGTGTGGGGTGATTGTCGGGAGTGTTCGCCAAGTCTGTGCCCGGTACCTGCACAGGGGAAAAAAAGAAAACAAAAAATTGACTCGCCGTGCAATTGTGTTATCGCATGAGCTGATTGTAAAGTAACTGGTGGTGTTAGTGGACATTATAGCGTAACTTGTAGTTCCTTGGTCCTTCTTTTCTTTACTATAAAAAAATTCACGGTTCGCTCTAAGACTCAGTTAAACTGAGTTTTCAGCATCCGTATGAACGCCACCGCCTTGCAAAGATCTAATGGCGCAGATGCAGCTCCTAACGCCGCGGGAGGTGAGTAGATCAGACCCACCAGCAAAGTGGTCAAAGACCAAAAATCCCATTCGCTGCATCCATGCACAAAAAAACAAACCACCAAACGTCAGTTAAAACTACGCACATCAAATCACTCTTCAACGACGTCAAGCCAGCTCTGCTCAAAAAGCTTTCGAAGGCGACACTACGCAAGACATTTACAAAAAATTACAAAAACTGTCTTTCAAACCTTGTACAATGCAATTGGAGCACTTCACACTCTACAGGATCTTTTTGAATGATTCGTTGGTGACCAACACGCACACGCGGCTGCGAGTACACACAGACGCACACACATGCACGCACGCGCACGCACGCACACGCACACACACACACACACACACACACACACACACACATCTACAAACTACAAAGGCATGAACTTACAGCATTCATCATGGCGCGTACAATAGCCAGGACGACCAGAGCCATATCAGGACTTTGTACAGGCATCAGCGGTGCCCGTGATGCCCCGATCATGAACATTCCACCTGACTGTGCATGTCCATCCACTGCCGGTACAATTAGTGAGGAGAACGGATCGTCGAACAGAGTCGTGTCGAATATGTCCTCCAGGCTCTTCGTCGTCAGCTCCTTGATAAACGTCGGGATTCTCACCACGGGCGTGTTCGTCAGGATTGCCAGCAGAATGTACAGGATCTGAGAGAAACACAAATGCAAGCACACATACAGACACACATACATACAGACACACGCACACACACACACACACACACACACACACACACACACACACACACACACACACACACACACGTCTTGACAGCATGAAGATGGCAGGACGGTGCTGTAGAAACTGGTCGATGGCATGCATACTTATACTTCGGTAGTAGTTGTTCAACTATCCCCCCGTGGGCTGGCCTAACTACATTGTGATTGGACAGGAAGTGCAGCAATACACAAGCACGGGAGAAGACCACCCACCTGGAATGTTCCACCGTTATCTGTTAGCAGGCGTGTTAGTGATGGATACCCGGGCATCACATCTACCGACGACTGCCGTGATCCACGCGACACGCCCTGGCCAGCAGTGATCAGCGCTGCGTCTGTGCCTGGCTGTACGTATGGCAGAGAGACAGACAGAAAGACAGACACACGGAATAGATAGAACCAGTCAAGAGGTCCGAGACAAATCCAATCACATCCAGTCAAAGTGAAAATCTGTGAAAGACAGTGAACATCTGTGAAAGTCTGTGAAAGTCTGTGAAAATCAGTGAAAATCAGACTGAAAATTTGTGAAATCTGTGAAAGTCAGTGAAAATCTGTGAAGATCTGTGAAAACCAATGGCTAACCTTGGCACTCCAGTTTCCGATGATATGGCCAGCTTTGAACTTGCACTGCAGCGTGGGTACAGACAGCAAGACGGAGAGAACGCGCAATGCACGCACCACGGAGCTGCGGTGTATGTGCACGTGCATGAAGAGCAACAACCAGTCGATGCCGAGCACTTCGGCCACCGTTGATGCGGCCCTGAACAGACGGGAGAGATGAATGCACAGGCACACATGCAAGCAAAAGGGTTAGTGAATGCACAGTCATACACGTAAGCAGAAGGGTTAGTGAATGCAGTCACACACACACACATACACTTGTACTTGCTCACTGCCAAAACTGGTCACGTGGGTCTCCCCGGGAGAGGGGAGAGAGACTCAAAAGGAATCTTGGAGAGATGACTCAATTGGCCATTGAACCACCCAACGGCCGACACCCCCTGAAATCCCCAAACTAGGGTGGACTTGAAATGATCCCACTTATGGGCTCACCACACCTCAGTAAGTGGGTGAGGACAAGGTGCAGAAAAAGGATTGACGGCATCAGGGTATCCGTCCCGGGATCCAACTGCAGGTACCCCTGCCCTCAGTGAAGGTAATACTTGGTACTAGTGTGGGTGGCTAAATCAGAGTGGATCTGATAAAAGCTTCACTAGCACCATTGATTACACAAGAGTTTATCTAGCCAGAAGTAGTCCATGGTTAACAGGTATGTATACTTCAAATAGAAAGTATATGAACCCTGAAACCAACAAAGGTGGTAGGTACAACAATACACCTTCAAGCAGCCGACACACACACACACACACACACACACACACACACACACACACACACACACAAGCAGAAGGACAACAGACGAACCAACCGTGCAAAAAAGCTGGCTGGACGCATCTACACGCACCAACCGCAACCTTTTTTTGGAAAATATTCCCCGAAATCTCCCCTGGGGCTTCGTTAGCCAGACATGAATGATATCACATGTGCTAACAAATACACTGTCCCCTTGGAAAACGTGATTCCGCGGCCGCGGCAAATTTCGCAGAAGTTGACATCATCCGCGGAAATCACGGAATCCACACTTTTGCCCGCGGAATCTGAATTTTTTAGGGTAAATTACTAAAATTACTACTCAGAAAGCAGCAGAAAAACTACTTTGCGATCTGTTTGAGCACATTTCTCTTGCCAGTGCATGTCTCTCCAAGATTCTTCACTCTTATTCAGTTTGTGACTGCAAAGGATAGTATGAAAAGTGCTCCTTCATGCGACTAGTTGTCATATCCTCTACGAGGAGGGTGAAAAACTTGCAGAAAGTGCCGCAGATTTTTGCTTTTACATCAGAAAATGCCGCAGAAAACCCCTCTTTTCCCCGCGGAATTTGCCGCAGATTTTTGAATTCATGGCCGCGTTTTTCCAAAGGGACAGAATACAGACTGGCATGCCACCATGCAGAGGGGCTGTGCAAAGGGATGGGTAATGGGATGGGTAAAGGGCTCAGCAAAGGGCTGGGCAGTGGGCTGGGCAAAGGGCTGGGCATTGGGCTGAGTAAAGGGCTGGGCAAAGGGCTGGGCAGTGGACTGGGCATTGGGCTGAGTAACGGCTAGGCAAAGGGTTGGGCAGAAAGGGCTGGGCAAAGGGCTGGCCGGGCACCACAGCGAGTACTACAACACCAACAAACATACAATGGCCAGGGTCACTGAGTGGCATATCCACTCACTTCATATCCACATCCAGAGAGTCCAGGCGTAGCGAGTGCTCGAGAAAGTCGAGCAACATGTTACGCTTGGCCAGCGCCGACGGCACATCCTTCTCAAACTCCATGATGCGATTCAGCGGCACTGCCAGTGGGGAAAACGAGGTGGTCGACAGGTTGCTAGCGTGCGACGTACGACTGGCAAACTGTGAGCCACTCGATCGCATCCTGGGCAGAGCCTCGGCCGCGCTACCGATCGTCGTCTTCAAGAAGTCGGAGATGCCGCCGGCTGAGCTACTACTAGGGATGGACTTGCGTGAGGTGTCGGCGGACAACAGCGGAGATGTAGCACTGACCTCGGTGAAACTGTGCGACAGTCCTTGATCGCGCAGCTTCCCGATGGGCGACGCCTGTGGCTTGCCGTCAAAGCTGTCGGCGAGATCGTCCATGCTCTGGGAGCGGTGACGACTGCTCAACAACGTCTTCAGTTGCGACGGCGTCGACGTAGACGATGGCAAGTCGGCGAGTTCACTGGCCGGTGAGCTAGTGCAGCGGTGGGCAGACGTCTTCTCCAGCGGCTGCAGGGAATCGGACGACGTGGACTGCTGTCGGCGTGCCTCCGTGCCACTGTTGTCACCGGCAACAGCTGCTAGTGCCGCCTCACTACTCGAATCATCTGCTAGCGGTGATTGCGATGATGGTGCTGATGACGACAGCTGTAATGTGTCACTGCCTGTCATCTCCTCTGATGTAGCAGGACAAGGCTCATTGCTTCTACCGGAAACCATAGCCTGTAGAAAGAACATTAACACACGCACACACACACACACACACACACACACACACACACACACACACACACACACACACACACACACACACACACGTACATGCACATGCACACAACCACCTGGTTAAAGAGACCACTTACCTAGGCACCAGATCATGCATCAGCATGTACAGAGGGATAATGTCTAGCAGTTTCTAAAGAAGGAGGACACAATGTTACGAGTTATGACTAACTGTCCACCAACGTAACCAGATCTTATACAGTCAGCGAGTGCGACAAAGTGGCACAAAACTGACAAGGTTAGTCATAACTCGTAACATTTTGTCCTCCTTTTCAAAATAATTGAATTGGCTCACCATCCGAGTTGAAGTTTCTAAAGAGATTGATAATTTGACCTTATGCTAAGACGCACAAGCAATGCTGCAAAACATACACAATGCATGAACAGTGCATGAACAGTGCATGAACAGTGCATGAACAGTGCATGACCAATGCAAGGAGTACCTGCTGCTCTTGCCGATGTAGACGTAACTTGGTGGATGTAGGAACATTGACCGGCGCGGACTCCTTGCCGGCGGCCTCTGCGAATGCAGCATCGTCTCCACCGTCCCGTGCCTCTTCACTAGCCGCCTTCATTATCGCTGCTCTAGCTCTTAGTGCTGAGTTATCAATGGATGGCAGCGGAGCCTCTTCTTGTACGGCTGAGGATGCTGGTAGTGTGGAGATCAAGAACTGACCAAAGCTGTTTCCAAAGACACAGGCAAAGAGAGAAGAACAGAAATGACGCCAACAGAACTACAGGGGATCTTTCTTGAAATCTGCTTTCCAGCATATCCCTGGCATCGACCCCAGGAAGTGGTGGTCAGGATCTTCACCCAGCCAATCATCAGCCAAGTACGAGTACACAAAGTATTGCTTAATGCTGGTAGTGTGGAGATCAAGAACTGACCAAAGCTGTTTCCAAAGACACAGGCAAAGAGAGAAGAACAGAAATGACGCCAACAGAACTACAGGGGATCTTTCTTGAAATCTGCTTTCCAGCATATCCCTGGCATCGACCCCAGGAAGTGGTGGTCAGGATCTTCACCCAGCCAATCATCAGCCAAGTACGAGTACACAAAGTATTGCTTAATTTCAGGACTAACTTACATTGTATGTACCATCAGGGGGGGGGGGGTATTCAAATCTGTACTGTACTATATAGGCAAGGCAAAAACTCATTGCAATCGGTCTGGTCAGTACCTCTGCAAAAACTCATTGCAATCGGTCCGGCCGCGGGGGGGGGGGGGGGGGGGGGGCAGGGGAAACTAGAGAGTTTTCGCACGGCGTTCAACGCGCTCACTTGACGCGTTCGAAGGTCACGTGCCACGTTCAGAAGCGAGGTAAACGCGCGTTGCCAACGTGGAACGCGGCCTCATCACGTTGGCACTTGATGGCCCAGCACGTGCGATTTACGCAAAGTTCTAATGTAGTAATGGTTCACCATGTTCACCTGCTGCGAAAGCTCTTTTCAAGTGCGTCACGCACGTGAATAGCCTCACGTTCGGCCTTTTCACGTTGCACGCCGTGCGAAAACTCTCTACTGTTACCCCGTAGCCCATTTTTCCATTTTTTTGCCACCCAAAATGCAATGTACCCCGACTTTACCCCAGACAAGTGTGCCTTTTGAAGCCTCCTCTGCTAGTGGCTTTCAACTGTATTTTCGTCGAATGGCATGGAAAAACACAAAAGTTGGAAAATGAGTAGGAGGCAGCAAAAACAGCACCCCCTACCCTCCCCCCCCCCCCCCCTGGCTTACTAACACTTAGTACACCTGCCCATCGCTGAAGCGACTATATAGCGACCATGCTATGTTAGACACAGCAACTTGTGCTGGGATTACACCATTCAGCAGCTTGCAAGGCTGATGAATTGACCGCCACTAGTTTTAGCCTGGTCTAGATCGCACAGCTGATTGAAGTGGCTTTTTCTGGCCAGTGAATGCCTATATTCCATTTTCCATTGCAGCAAACTTACCAGAGCAGGTCTGCTGCACTTGGATATCCGCGCAGTAGCACGGCCACAACATTCAGTATGCACTTAGCAATGCTCAGACTGATGTTCTCATAGAGCATGATGTCGAGAAGACGCTCCACCATCTGCATGCCTCGCAGGATCTCAATGTTCTTCCTTGCTTCACTGCATACACACAAACACACATACACACACATTTACACACACATACGCATACACACACACACACACACACATACAGAAACGAACACACACGTACACACACACACACACACACACACACACACACACACACACAGGTGCACACATATATTATACACACATGTACACACACACTCACATGTCAAGATGAAAACACAAAGAGATCAGGACACAAAACAACCGCACGAAGTAACACAAAGCATCACAAACGAACCTCCACTCTGGACAAGACAAGACACAAGCAGCATATGCCATGCAATACCTAAGCACACCTAACCACACGTGTGACAACAGAAACAATCAACCCCAGACACAGCCAGGGGCGTCGGCAGGTATTTGACATTGGTATGGCCATGAAGAGGGGGGGGGGGGTGAGGGGTCCTCATGGGGGCCTCATCCCTCCCCCCGGAAAAAATTAGAAAATTCGGCCTAAATAGCCCACATTTTATTACTTCAAAAGCACAGTGTGGAATTATTGGCGTTGCTTTGGCCGCACATGCAGCTCCGGTTCCAACGCCTCTGATAGTTTATACATATTGATTCATTGCAACAAATGTGTTTTGGTCCAGAACTCACCAGCGACCAGCTCTAGCAGAGAAGGACACAGGTGCAGGTATAGTATTTCCACTAAAAACAAACTTCTGATGTGAATACTAGCGGCAACAGTACATGAAACCCGGAGTGTGCAGCTTGGGGCTTTTTCTACTATGGGTGTCTGTCACGGCGGAATTCCATCATTACCGTATTATCTCTAATATAAGCACGGTCCTTTATTTTTTAAATGTACCTCCGCCCCGTGCTATTATTGGAGACGTTCCTTTATTGGAGACTGTTCCTTTATTATTTCAACCTCATTTCAGAGGCTTGTTGCCATGCCAAATTCATGTCAGACACACACATTTCAGGGTTTTTTCGCCGGTCCAGATAATGAATTTACACAGTGTGCTTATAATGGAGACTGAGCACTTTATTTTTTGAATGCCGCCCCAAGGTGTTCTATTATTGGAGACGTGCTATTATTGGAGACTGTGCTTATATTAGAGATAATACAGTACATCATGTTTGGCGCAGATCTGAGGCGGGAAGTGGCGTAGTGCATACAACTGAGCCGCAGTTGTGCAGAAAGAGACCTGCTTGAATCCTGCTTGTACGCACTACATCACTAAAATGATGTAATCACGGAATTCCGCCGTGACAGGAACCCATCCGAGCTGCACACTCTGGTTTTCATGTCCTCCTGCTAGTGGCCTCCACTTACCTGCAGCCGACAATGAGGTCGTAGAAATGAGCGAGAAGAGTTTTCTGAATGTCCTCCGACGTCTGCATCCAGAACTGCACGCACCAGACACACAGGTACACAGAAGCAAACAACACGTCAGTAAATGCATGCATGCACAGTGCACACACACACAATCATATTATGCACATGCTCAGTAGTTTGAAATTCGGATGTTGAGCCAATAATAAATGTAGACAGGAAAAGGACATATGGATACGAGTTAAGAGTAACTCTCTGCCACTGTAACCAGATACTATATACAGTCAGAAAGTGCAATAACTAGGCACAAAACTGACACAGTACTGAGCCATTCGACGTCCTGTCAACTAGTCCATCACAATGTCATGCATGAGCAGTACTGTAGGAGTTTGGCTTTCGGCGTGTACAATTCGTTTTCGCAAAGCTTCCCCTTCTTTACTTATCTTTGATATTTATGAGCCACCCAAGTTGGGTGGTGTGCTGCTTTGCTGCTTCGAATTGTAGTTAGACCGCTTTGTCAAGTATCCTACTGGTCTCGGCGTCGTCCAGTAACAATCGACATTCTTTGTTCCGTTGGGACTGTAGCTTGTGCTCGTTTTCGTTGCGCTTGCCTTCCCCTCTTTGGTCTTTCCATAACCTTGAACCTTCCGAGTTGGAAGGCTGTCGGTTAGCGCTACGGAGATGTGTTGAAGCTAGGTGCCAGGACATCGAATGGCTCAGTACTGTGTCAGTTTTGTGCCTTGTTATTGCAGTTTCTCACTGTATTATAGTATCTGGTTACAGTGATGGAGAGTTACTCTTAACTCGTATCCATATGTCCTTTTCCGTGTTCAGTAGTTGTCATGTTTGTCCTAGTCTCCATACCATTGTCTTTCATTGTTCTTTTCGAGCTGGGTATGTGAACATGGTAAAAAATAGAAATAAATGCACGCACAAACAATATGCAAGCACACAAACGTATGCAAGCACACACAAACATACGCATGCACACACAACTATAATTATACATGCACAGTTAAAGCTCGTAGCTGTACTGATGAGGCCTTTGTGGCCGAAACAGTTTGCTGTCTACAGCATTGGGAAATGGGCATGCATGCATGCAAACACTAGAAAGCTGAAAATGCACCACTCCCAGGACAGGCCCAGGGTAGTCTGAATAAGTTCTTGTTCTGATCCATTCTTACCTGAAGATCACAGAGCAGGTCGCTGAACGCTCTCGGGTGAGGTATGGCGGTGCTCTCGCGATTACTGTCCACCGTTCCGACCAGTGAGAAGGTCAGGTGAAGGATGTGTGTGTTCAGGTACTGACGGCGCTGTTGCAATAACATTGCTAACACCTGTCAAAGAGAGCATACACACATACACGCACACACGCATGCACACACACACACGCATGCACACACACACACATGCATGCACACACAAGCCGCCAAACAATAACAACAACGCTGAGCAAAATTCATTCAACGAAGCTCTGAGCGTCATGCCTAGCACGGCACATCAAACAGGCCGCAAAGCATGTATTGGACATTATATGCAGTGTGTGGGGGGGGGGGGGTACAAATAGGAACAATGTACATGCTGCATGCCTGTTCAAGTTCCAACAGCAGAGTAAGCACAGTCTACACAGTCTGTACAGCCTATCCGTCTACATAGTCTACATACAACAGCAGAGTAAGCACAGTCTGTACAGCCTATCCGTCTACATAGTCTACATACCGTAATGTCGCGTATAAAAGCAGGTGCTTGCGGCCGTATAAGCCGGGGTTCAAACCATGCTTCTAACTAGTTATTAAAGTTATGCTTCCATTCAAAACATGCTTCTATGTCAACATCATCAGTCTACACTGTGCAGTGCACACTGGCACACATGTCCTTGCGCATGTACTTTGTAGAGAGCGGCTTCTATTCACATCGGGCTTCTGTGTCACGGTGCGCTTCGAAAATCGGCTTCTATACGAGTCATGCTTATACAGGTCATGTTTTTATACGCGACACTGCAGTAGTCTGTACAGCCTATTATAGTCTGTACACTACTCAATCTGCGGACAGAACTGTTTCGTCCTTTGTGAACTCATCAGCGCAGCACAGAGAAAATGAGGCCGAACCTGATAGCAATGAAAACATAAATTTTCCAAAGCCAGATTTAAACCAGGCCCGAACGTGCCTTGCCAGCCGGCGTGCTCAAACTGACACGTCAGTGAGCTCTGCATAACGTAAACAGCAAAGGCACTGCCCCACATGAGAGTGCTCGACTACTACAAGAGCAGGAGCGAAATTCTACTACTATGCAGACTGCGCAGAGCCTACCCACCTGCATAGCCAGCCCTTATCATTAGGCTACACACAGATCCATATCATATTATAACTGTAAAGTATCACAAACCTGAAAGCCATTGGTCTTCTCCATTTCCTGCATCACGCCAGCATTGGTTGTGAGCACACACACCAGCGCTTTGACAGCTGCATACAGCATCTAGAACAACATACGCAAAGACGTATGCCCACACGCATGCATGCACGCACGCACGCACACACACACACACACACACACACACACACACACACACACACACACACACACGCACACGCACACACACATACACACACAGAAGAACGGCGCATTGCATTCCCAAGCTTGATATGCAGACAATCATTCGACGCTTGATTGACCCAAATATTCATGGCGAGAGGCGAGAATAGAGGCCATTCTTCGGACAGCAGAGTAAACCTCATGTTGATAATACAACCATAAAAGGCCATTGAAGTAACCAGTGTCCACTCTATGTTATGAAACTATCGTAGAGATGTATGACATAATACAGGATAGCCATGACATCATTGTGAATAGCTCATGATATCATAGTGGGGATTTATGATGTAATACAGGATAGCCATGACATCATTGGAAAGGACCCATGAGTCATGGCATCATTGTAGAGCTAGAGTCTAGAGATCTATGACTATGATATAATACAGGATGACATCATTGCACATAACTCATGACCTCATAACACACACCTGCACGTCGGTAGCCTGTGCCACCAGACCAAGCAAGAGATGAATACCGCCAACACTACCAATAGCAGTGGAGACAGGCTGAGGTAAGAAGCAGCGAACACTGTAGAGGAAGTTGCCCAGCACGACACCGCCAAACGAGCGCCCTGATCCGTTGAGATGCATGGTGGTGTTGTGAAACAAACGCATTGGCATCCCGCTGTGCAGAGGGCCGAGAGACTGCAGCTCCTGGGAGATACACAAACACACACACATACACATAAACACACAAACAGCGAGGAACAGGGCGCTGTCAGCACAGCTCTCAGCATAAGTTATAACCCCAAAGTTCAACTAAGAGAATATGAAACCCAGAGTATGCAACTCTGATGGCGAAATTCCGGGATTACATGTACATCATTTTAGTGATGTAGTGCGTACTAGCAGGATTCAAGCAGGTCTCTTTCTCCACAACTGCAGCTCAGTTGTACGCACTATGCCACTTCCCGCCACAGATCTGCACCAAATATGATCCAATCCCAGAATTTCACCGTGACTGACACCCATCAGAGCTGCACACTCTGGGTGTCATGTACTCGTGGTTGAACCAGCAAATGACAGAGAGCTAGAAGAGACGTGGCAAAGCTGACAGTAATAGACGGAGGCTCCCTCGATTTAGGCTAAGGCCCGTGGAGAATCCATAAATACAAAATACAAATACAAATACAAATATCAAAAGGACAACAAACTGAAGTTGCAATGTCTCTGCACATGCAAATGAGAAGCAGTAGCCCATAGCGATGTGTTCATATCTCAACCTACCTCTCTCAGAAACTTCATTCCATCCCTATCTCCTCCACTGGCCAGCAGATCGTCCATCGTCATATCTGTGAAGCTGAGAGCGTTCAATCCAAATGAGATCTTCTCCTCGGCCACAAGAGACCCAGCGGATACCGTGCCTTCACTGTACATGATGTTCACACACACAACGACGGCGGTGGTGATAACAACGACAGCAGCAGCAGCAGAACCACCACCACCAACAACACAAATACACACACACACACACACACACACACACACACACACATTAATAGGAAAGGAAATGGACACATAAACTACCGCAGAACGTCCACACTTGTCAATTCAACAGTTGCACACACCGCCTAACTGGGTGCAAGCAAACTTGGCAAGATGCGAGACTATTATATTATCAATGTACACGTGTGCACATACGCACACACTCATAATTATACTTAACCCTTTAAGAGCCACAGGAAATTTTCAAAATTCTGCATTTTTTCGTGTTCCTCGGATCATAGCTTCAGTTCTACTCACTCAATCCTCACAATCTAGGGCTTCCTGGAACGGTCTCCGCGAGAGGAAGAGAATGAGGTTGATCATGATAGCCAGCACACCGTCTATCCAGCGCTAGATCGCAGCGACAGTACGAAAAATGCCCCAAATGCGTCCAATTGCGTCCCGCTCCAGAATTTCATTTTACTCGATCGTGGAGTTCCAATTTTTTTGCTGTGTACTCGCGGATTGTTTCTCCCGACAGGTGAGAGTTTTCTCTTCGCCCTGGATATTTCGATCGATGGATTTGAGCGAGATTGGACTGAGTTACGATCTTTTGAAGTTTTGCATTTGAATGCGTCGTTTACGACACATTCAAGTATGGGGCGGCTCTTAAAGGGTTAACACACGCTCATACTCATACTCTTGCCCATCGCTTCCACGATGACAGCAAACAAGCTATGGTTAGATATAGCAACTTGTGCTGGGATTACACCATTCAACAGCTTGCAAGGCTGATGAATTGACACCCCACCCACCACCACCACACACACACGAGTACACATACCAGTCACGCTCGCCAACACCATAAGGTGCCTGGAAGCTACCGACATAGCACGGTCCCAGATCAAAGATGCACTTGACCGTGCCCGCTGAGAGTGGTTCATCAATGATATGCGCCGGCCCCAGTCTCCACTGCAACGCTGATACGCGCTTCAAGCATCGGCGCGTGCCAAACACGGCGTGTACCAGCACTGGATATAGACTGTTAGCGGCGGTGACGTCAGTGGGTACGGGATAGGATGCCGTGCCCGGCATCTGCGTCTGGATGTACGAAAGCTGTACGGCAGAAGCAGCAGTGGCAACAGAACACGTGCACAGACGAATAGAGTTTATACACATTTCATTTCAGCTACCAGTACTGTAAGAGTTGAATCTCTAACCGGCCACAAAATTTAGCGTTTAAATTAACAAGGAAAATCCATTGTTAACTCAAGAAACGTTCCTAGTATTCTATTCCTTCTCTTCTCTGTACTTTAATATAGAAAAGAAAAAAAGGACCAAGAAACTACAAGTTACGCTAAAATGTCCATTAACACCACCAGCTAGTAAACAACCAGCTCATGCGATAACAGTGTACTTGCAGTTTCTTGGTCCTTTTTCTTTTCTATAAATTTATCCTCTCTCGCTCTCCATCCGAGTCCTTCTCTGTACATGTTTTCTTGTAGAGAAATATCAGATAGGAGTGTAATGGCAGGGTCGTTAAACTAAGTTTACTTTGTGTGCGCCTAGTGGGAAAATATTGTAAATCGTTAAACTTTAGACTCGTCATACTTTCAGCTTAACAGTACAGAGGCTCCACCGCTGTATGTGTTGAAGACATTGGCAGTGAAAAACAACACGTTTGGAAGTGAACCCAAGTCAGTGGATCTCACCTTTTTGGTTTGCACTAACTGCCCGTCCATGTACACGGATGCCGTCCGCCCCTTGATCAGCGGGTTGTTCAAGACGACGCACACGTGATGCCACGTGCCTACGTGCGTCAGGCCAGAGCAGAAGAAGCGTGCCTGGTGTTGCGAGTCACTGCTGCTACCGTCCGGAAGAATACCGTCCTCGTCCGACGTGCCCATCGCACTGCTTGCACTAGTGGAGTCGCCGCACGATGTCACCGTATCCACTTCTCTTGTACTCACCACCTACATGCACGGAGAGACAGAGAGAGAGAGAGACATCATACAAAGTACTGTAAGAGTTGAAAGGGTGACGAGTCTAAAGTTTAACGATTCGAACAGCTTAGCATAGCTCACTATTAACGTTTCTTGAGTTAACGATGGATATTTTTCTCGTTAAAACGTTAGACTTTGTGCCCCGTGAAAGATTCCACCCTTACAGTAATTAAATACACGCACGCACGCACGCACCCACGCACGCACGCACCCACCCACCCACCCACCCACCCACCCACCCACCCACTGGAATTTAATTTCGTCTTTTTCGTCCAAGGAGCTTTTGGACTAAATTAAATGTAGGACGAATATCGATTTGTCCAGCTTTTCTATACACTCTTATGATCCATGGACGAAATTTTCAACCGGACGAACTCCTTTTCTTTGGAGTTGGACGAAATTATTGACCGACGAAATTTTCTGCCTCTACAGTAATTCCGGACGGCACAGATAGTGATAAAGTGACACGAGGCATCACCAGTAAACAATACTACAGTAAAACCTGTAACTAACGACCACCCCTTGGTGCCCGGAATAGTGGTCGTTAGTGCCAGGTGGTCTTTAGTTAGAGGTGTGCACCGCGCGACCATACATGGATCCCATTATATGATATGTATGTCAAAATGCAGATAATACAATCCCCCACCACTTGCGCACTGACATTCTTCTTTCAGATCATACAACACTTGGAGAGAGAGAAAATGAAGTTTTTTATACACCGGAAGCGATACGACCTTTTGACACGTATGTCGACTCACTGGGTTTCCAGAGCAGCGCTGGCCTGGCCAGGCAGTGCACTAGTCACTATCGACTCCATCCTCATCTGTGTGCGACTACACTGGCAACTACTGGTATCAGTGTGTTGATCTACAGTGGAAACCAGTGAGTCGTATAGACTCCCTGGTGGAAACTCAGTCGCTCCGACTTGGATGTAGTGTAGCGTAAACTGTACTAGTGAGTAGTGTGTACCAGTACGTGATGCGGCGATGTTGCGAGTTTTCGCACCTTTCACTGTAGACTATTATCCGCCATCGTATCCTGGCCTGTGTTCCGTACACATGGTACAGGTGAGTACATAATACCGTAGCATGCTAGCTAGCCAGCACAGACTGTCAGTGTGACCTGGTGTAGTGGTGAGTCTGGTGACTGATCTGTGTGATTGCACTTCGACAGAGAGCCGCTCAGTCTTAGTTTCTCCTTCGAGTAGTAACATCGATCAAAGAGCGCTTCGGATGCGCTCTCCAGGACGTTTCCTATCATGTTTGTTCTTGACAGCACTTGAAATTATGACAGGTGTAGTGCAATCCACCCTGATTCCACAGTAAAAATGAGACTGCGCTCATTTGTCCAGCTGTAGTATCGAAACGACCTTGGAAAATCATCAAAATTTCGAGAAGGAGCTTCAAGCAATGTTTGATTTGCTACATCGCGGTCGCTAGTCACGGGTCAAAATTCGACATTGGGACAAGAAAA